TGTTCCGTGTCCTGCCACCTCCCTTGATTTGCTGGAGTCTGGCGACCAGAGCTCTGGTCCTAAGCAAATCTTCTAAAGCCCCACGGGAACTACTAGCAACAGGTGGAGCGGAACAGGTCAGGTATAAACTGCAGATAAGTGGGGTCCGATACAGCAGCCCCAGGCTGTGGCTCTATCAGCGTCCTTTATCTAGAAGCTGCTGCCCTCTCTCGCTGCACGCGCAGCGCAGGCAGGGCTCTGGAGTGTGGCCAACCCGGCTCACGACCCTGGCTCTGGGATCCTGGGCAATGAAAGACTGTCTCTGAACCTTGATTTGTTTTAAACTGCAAAGTGGGCATCATGACAGCTTGGTACTGGACACTGGGGGTTGTGATCAGGATATGTGATCCTGCATTTTTTCCCCGTGGGTTAGCTAGGGCTCCTTCACCACAGTGAGCTCTAAGGGCAGGAATGGTGTCACATTGTTCATGGCTGCAGCCCCAGCCCCAGGCCACCCCGGAGCAAAAGAGGCCCTGTGCGCATTTGCTGGGTGCAGTCCCTGGCAGTCTTGCTTCCTGGGCAGGCTCCTGGCAGGGACACCTGCCAGATTCCCAGCCCCTCTGGCACCATCTGCGCTGATGACAAAGCCACCCAGCTGCCTGCATGCCAAGCCACACTGCCCCACACAGGCGATGTTCCCTCCCAGTGTCCTTATGGGACGGGAGCAAGTCAGTGAGGGAAGAGATCGTGGACCCTGAAGCCTGGCAGGGGTGCCCAGAGCTGCAAAACTGCCCAGCAGGCTGTGTCATCATGTCTCTCCCCAGCATATCTTCACCCCAACCTCTGACTCCCCTGCCTCAAGGGACTTTTCTCTTGAGCCCATTTCTGCCTGTTTGTGCCCACTGATGACCTCTCTCCTGGTTCTTCTTTAGTACTGAGGTTGAGTTACATCCCCGCCGTGTTCATTTATTCATTCAGAGATAGTGTGCCTCACTAAGTTGTCCAGCTGGGCTTGAACTCATGATCCTTCTGTTCAGCCTCCCATGTGTGGGGAATCCCCACTGACTTCTAAAACCCCGCTCCTGACTCCCCACCATCCAGTGCAGATCTTTCCCAGGGCAGTGAAGTTATAGACACCAAGGGCTGAGCCTCCACTGGGGTGCTCTCCAGCTGTGTGATCTTGTGCAAGAAAATTCACCTCCCGGAACCTCTGTATCACCATCTGTCAAATGAGGCCAGCTATACTCCCAGCCCCCGGGATCCCTGGGTGGGTGGATTAAACGCACAGGTTTGTGCAGTGGGTCGAGCATAGGGCCTGGCCTGGGGCAGTCACTGTGGGGGTGGGGTTGGCAGCTTTTAGGGTGTGAGCTCACACTGTGTCCTAGGGGGATGTGCTCCAGTTCCTACCCTTGGTCTTGCTGCTTCCTCTACCTCAGGTCTCTCTTTCCATCTTCAGAATGGAAGCCCTCTCCCCCAGGCAGGTAGGAAAGAACACATCCTTTATAGCCCGTTCTCCCTACACGGATGTGACTCTGTGATATCTGTCCTGACTACAGAGACACATTTTAAGGTATGGCTTGTTATACCTTATACCTGTCTCAGATGACGAGAGAGAGCTTGGCAAGGCCGTCAAAGTCCCTGAAATTAGTGTGGCTGGGCTGGGCTCCCCTGCCTGTCTGACCCCACAGGGCACCCAGCACCATTTGTATGGTAATCACAAGGTGGCCCCAGCCCAGCAAACCCTTCCACCAGAGCCTCTGGTGACCCAGAAAGTGAGTGAGGGGGCTTGCTTCTGGCCTACTACCTGGCTCTGGAGGTCCTGGGAACACAGGGCTGTGGAGTTGCAAAGACGGCGGCCATGGGCCCACCATAGCCCTGCCCCTGCACTTCCTGCATCGGTCTCGAGGGCTGCCTTGGCACCTTCACTGCCAGCTCAGGCTGTGCCACCCCCTTGTGACATCACTGGTCCCGCAGCATAGGGCAGGCTGGTGCAAGGCCGGTGGGGCCCTTAATGACGTCTTGTAACAGCTTCCCTTTCGCCCATCTGTGGCCCAAAGACCAAGGACATCATTTCCAGCTTATGGGGGTTTGTAAATCATCTTATACCCACACAAGTGACTTCCTTTCCTCAGCAGCCGTTCCATGGCCCTGCAAGAGCTGGCCTTAGAAAGAGGCCCCCAGAGAAAGCAGCCTGTTGGTGTCGCTGCCCGCAGATCCAGGGCGGGGCATCTACAGATCTGGAGCCTGGCTCAGCCAGGGGGCAGCTCTGGTCTGAGCTTCTGCCTTCTGCTTCTTCCACAGTCTTCTTGGGGACCAGAGGCACATGGCACAACCTGACGGGGTTTTCCTTCTTTTTTCAAACTCAGGACCTTGTGTTTGCGAAGCAGGCACAGTGCCACTGAGCTATATCCCGGCCCCTATCACAGGGTTTCTTATGTTGTCTCTGGTAGACTATTTTAAGCCTGGCTGTCTTGGTAGAAGGTCTGTAAGCTGACCCTGACCCTACCTCATTGTTCCCTGCCAACAGCTCCGAGACCACCTGCACAGAGGAAATGCAGCTGGTAGAGGCAGAAGGATCACAAGTTCAAGCCCAGCCCAGGCAATGTAGTGATTCAGCAAGACCCTGTCTCAAAATAAAAAATTCAAAAGGGCTAGCGATGTAGCTCAGTGGGTTCAATCTCCTGTACCACTTAAAAAAATAAAAGCAACTGATGGTCCTTGGGGGAGGGAGGTGCTGCCCCAGAATGTGTGGAAACTCGGTGTAGCAGGGGATGTGTTGGGGGGAGCCCATAAACATGGAGCTGAATGCGGCCCAGCAGAAGCACCTCCGGACGTCCTGCTGATGTCAGCGGAGTCGTAAAAACTTACCTCCAGAGAACTTGTTAATTTGGTCCCTGGGATAAAATGAGTCTTGAAGGCTGAGTTATTAGCTGCTGCTGGATGGCGCAGGCTGGGGCTTCTCAGGCTGTTTCTCTGCTGTCCACAGTAGCACTGCATGGTGGGCTCTGTTCTTCCTGTCCCATGGAAAAAAAGCCTGCAGGTCCAAGAAGCAGGGGTCTTGCTACTGGGTGGCAGAGCTGGGACATGAGATGGTGACAGGGTGGCTCAAGTCCTTACGGTCACTGGTGTCCTCCTAAGATCTCTAAGTCCTCTGCTTGGGCTCTGCATCAGATCCCATGTTCAGCATATGCCCGTAACAAATGTTGGCTGTCTGATGACTGCCATGCCCCAAAGACTGGGGAGAACTGTGGTCCGGCTTGAGCCTTGATGCAGCCTCTCCCACATCTGTCTAACTCTGGCGTAGGGGCACAGAGGCGCGGGCTAGGATCACACAAGCCCGGAGAGATGCTGGCCTAGATCCTTCTGGCTGATGCGCCCTTTGCACACAGGGTGGCTCCACTTGGATGCTTCCCTGTGGGCAGTGCAGAGGGAATGTGCCTCTCCCCTCCAGCTGGAATGAGTTCCAGAGGTGAGTGTGGGAAGTGGCAGGCAGAAGTTACTCTGGAGCTCCATCAGAGCCGTGTGCACAGGGCCACGGGCAGCCCTGACGTCCTAACGGCGGAGGGTGCGGGGTGCAGGGAGAGGACTACTCTCAAGTTGCCCTATCGGGCAGGAACTGAGCCTGGTGCACCTCACTTGTACCTGGACTAAATTCTCAGCATCCTGATGAAGGCACCCAGAGCAATTTCCACATAAAGAAATGGGCACAGGACTGGGCTCATGGGACTCAGGGGCAGGAAGTGGGGCAGGGAGGCTTTGCACACCTGTCTGCAATTCCAGAGCCCCTCATGCTCTGCCTTTTGGAAAAGCGTTTTGAATGAGCCATTTTTCACTGTTCTTTAAGCCACGCTGGTCAGCCGAGCGGTTTCCAGGTAATACACCTGAGACCTAAGGCAGCCCTGGATTTATGTGTTAACCAAATTCAGAGATAACCCACCTGGCAATGCCTGATCACCCACTTTTATGCAACAGTTGTTACTCGCCAAGGAAAGAAAGCCGACCATGGCTTTGCAACACTGGAGACCAGTAACTCTCAAACTGTGTTGAAAAACAACACAATTCTTAGACACACCCAAGTCCTATAAGGAGATCAAAACCAAAACCCTGTTTTTCCATTATGAACTTTCTCTTTGCAGCGATAATTTGTAAGGAAAAGCCAAAGCGTCATAGAGTAAGGCCTGTTTTAGGCAGGTGTGCGCTACTCTGCAGGCTCCCAAGCATTTTGGGGCTTTGCAGGATTTGTCCACAAGTGGCAGGAATGCTTGGAGAGAAAGCCCCAGGGTGCCCGGTGCTGTGACTGCTGGGAGAGGCCCCTGGACTCTTACGGCCCAGGTCCTGTTCTAGTCCTCAGGCGCGCCAGGCCAGGCGAGGTGGTGAGAGCCTTCGGTTGTTGGAGCTGCTTCCGTTAGGGAAAAGCCACCCGAGGTGGAGCTGGGAAATCGGGGCTCCCTGTGGCGACTGAGAGGGGTGGTTTTACAGGAGAGGGAGAGCATCCTAGGGAGAGGGCAAGGCACGACCCTTGACTTCTGGCTGGCAGAATAGCTGAGCACACCCGGGGTAGCTGCAGAATTTCACTTTGTTTTGTTTTGGTACCGGGGATGGAACTCGGGTCCTTGAGCTTGCGAGGCAGGTGGCGGGACCAGTGAGCTAAATCCCCGGCCCAAGAATTTCACTTTGTATATGTGAGAATCATCTGAATCTTTTTCCCACCAAACATTTATACTTGGTAAGCTGCTGCGTAAAACAGGAAGTGCAAAGATACACATCCAACCTACGGTGATGGCAGCCTCTGGGAAGAGAGCAGCGGGACGGGCTGTGTGTGGGGTCCCGTTTCTGAAACGTGTTACCTTTGACAACACAATCAGGAGCAAGTGTGACAAGTGGCAACCCTGTTCACTGGCTGGAAGGCTGAGGTGTGTGACACGGCACCTCCTGTGACTTCTTCCTGTGGGCCGCCGGACTCTGAGCTGACCAGGCACACGGCTGCACAAAGAGCAGAACACAGCCAGCGTGTGCTTCAGTACAAATTTAATAAAGCCTCTGATGTATCTTAATTCATAAGTTATCTACCAAAACAAAACCCCCACAACTTTTTAGAGCCATCAAGAGCCATCACGGTGTCAATGAACACCAGCTATAAAAGTACAAACTCAGTGTTTTAGATAGTGCAATATCACAGCCGCTGTGACTATAAACTACCCCTCCTGGTCAAGACAAGAATCCAGTAAAGTTGATATTGGTGCTTATAAAACACTCCCCACCAGGTCCTCACTGGCTCCCCTTCTCAGGAAAGAAAAATCAAGATGGGATCCACCTTCATGCGGGCCATCAGCATCTATGCAGTCTGTGTACACCGTGGTCATACAGATCTTTAAAGAAGTCAAGTGCTTAAAGAATGTGGCAAGTCCACAGAAGCAGGGCTAATACATCTTAACATTCACTTCCTGTCTTTAAATCCATCTTCTTTCCATCACTGTAAAGCACACACTTTCAGAAGTCGAAGGGCCCTGGCCCTGGCCCGTACTTGGATCCAGCCGAAGCCCTCTGATGAGGGTGGCCGACTGCTCGCGCTTGCTTTGGTGCCAACAGGAAGGCTCTCGCTGGAAGGCGTGGCCTTGAAGAGAGCTGTAAGCCGAAGCCTGTGGCAGAGTGGAGGGGGAGCAGGTACTCCCAGCTTCGTCTGGGTGGGGATACACGAGGTGCGTGAAGTCGGGAGGGTGGCTGTCACCAAGACCACTAACAGGGTCCCTGTCTCAATTCCCTAGATCTGGACAAAACTTCCCTGAAAGGGGAAAACAGATGCCGAGAAGCACAACAGGCCGGAAGGGGGAATGGGGTAAAAATGCAACAAGCCAAAGAGGCGGGGAGGGGTACTCGCAGGTCTCCTCGGCCTCCTGAGTTGGTCAGTGCAAAGGGCTCCCAGGGGCCCTGTGCTGAGGGCAGGGCAGGAAGCCCCAAGATTCACGGAGTCCAGATAGGATAGGTACCTTAGGTTCGTGTTTATTCCCTCAACAGATGAGCAGGGCAATGTGCCGAGCAAAAGGGAGTTGCCGCTCTGGGTAGCAGTCAGTGCAGCTAGAACTGTAGCTGCTCCTTGGAAACAGTGAGCTCTTCTCCCAAACCAGATACCAATGTGGATGCATGGGACAGGATCAGCTGGTGAGGTCTCCTGGGAAGCTCAGCCTGCCGAGGACTCAGAAAGGAGGCTGCGGCTTTGCAGTGGGAGCTGTGCCCTGAACTTCTGGTGCTCCACGGCTTCTCTGGGCAGCAGCTGGGCCTGGCTGCCTGAACAGGCTGCTGTGGATGGGACGGAGGCAGAGACTTTGTCGGGTGCATAGAGGCTTGGTGAGGCCTTACCTGAGTGAAGAGTTTTCAGAACGGAAGGAGAGGATCCATGTGTAGAAGGCTTCGTGCGCTCAGACCCACGCCATGGAACAACTCTAGGCTCCTGGGGCTCCTGGGACTTGTTCATACACAGCTCACAAGCCCGTTATTCAAAAGTGGCCTCTTTATATTTGCCAGGCCTGGGCTCTAGGCCACTGGAAAGTGGGAGAAAAGGACCGATGTGGGTAGAACCTGGAGGTTTATTATCAACACTCCCAACTGGCATCACCCGGAGAAGGCTGTGTAGTGCCGCCACGTGCATCTAAGGTCCTTGAGGCCACAGGGGAGTCTCATGGCTATAGAGAGGGGCTGTGCACCAATGTCCCCTGGCATGTTGGCCACGCACCCAGGGCAAGCTACCACTAGGAGCCCCAGAGGGCATGTGGACGGGGCAGAGCAGAGCTAGGACAGCTCGAAGCCTGTGTTCATGCTGATGGCGTAGCGTAGCTTCTCCCGGAGGACGCTTTTCTTGCTGTAGTTGGGCAGCTTGAGCAGATTGAAGCAGGTAGAGGAGGTGGGCAGACGGCCACCTGGCTCCCGCTTGCGAATGGTGAAGAAGCCCCGGAGGACGCTGCCCAGGGTGTCCCCGGTGTCCTGCAAGCAACACCACAGCCTTCCGTCAGGGTGCGCCGTGCCCCGAGGTCGGGTAGGTGCCAAAGCAGAGAGAGCCTGGGTAGAATGTGGGTGCTGCCCTCTGGGCACATACAGTGTCTGAGGTCAACCCCAAATTTGATAGTGACCCGAGAAGCTGAGTACGGAGGAGCAGCCCCTGCTCCAGGACGCCACATGGGGACTCTTGTGCTAAGTCAGCGTGCAGCAGTTAGCCAACTGGCAGAACAGCAGCAGACTATCTGGGTGCCAAAACTTTTCTAAATGCAACCCGACATTTCCTCCCTGGGCTTGTGACCATGGTTGACTTTCCCTTAAGTACAGAGGCTGAGGCACCCAAGAGCCACCGGGCCTCCATGGGTCGGGCACATCTGAGCGTGAGCTACGGCCAGCCTCACAGTGCACAGGGCACCCTAAGGTGCTGCCCTTTAACAGACTAAGATGAAGCAGCATGCCTGGATGGCGTGGAGAGCAGGGGAGCAGCTGTGGTGCTTCAATTCCCTAGACGTGCTTTTGTCCACCCCAAGCCTCACCCTCTCCCATGCTGCCTCTCTCTCTGACTTGGAACCGGACTGGACCAGCTGCCACTGAAATAGCAGGCACCACCTCCACAGAGAAAGAACAGCTGGGGCAGGGCCAGCTGCTTTCATGTGAGAACCGTGGCTCCAAGGGGCCCAGCTGCCAGTCTTGCTGAGACACAGACCGGGTAAGGGTCCCACAGGGTGAGTGTAGCAGACAACCAAGCAGGAGCAGGGAACACCAGCCCACTGTCCGTGGCCGGGCCGCGTACCTGATCATCCGACACTTCCACACAGCGGATGGAGAACGGCGGCTTGAGGTAGGCGAATCCCAGGAGTGGAGGCCTGGAGCAGCTGGTCACAAACTGCAACACAATGCAGGGTCAGAGGACAGGAGGGGCTCTCACAGTTACACTAGGTGCTCTCATTCCTTAGCCACGGCAGTGAGGGGTGACAGAGCAGTGCAGCCGGCTCGACAATGCGTGGACAACACATGGCACATGTCCCCGCAGGTGCAGCTCTCTGTACTGACAAACACGGACTCCCCACCCTCAGAGTGACTGGCGGCTGTGGGGGACCACGTGACTGGTGTCTGGGGAGGGCAGATCTCCCCCAGGCACGAGAGTGCCCTTCCTGGGAGGCAGTCTCCAGCAGCAGCAGGGTGGGATGGTGACAGATGGCCTTCCTTGGAGCCACTACACAGCAGCAGCACTGGTGAGCGGGAGGCAGGTAAGCTGTGGGGGAGGCTGTGCCTCTGAGGCGAGGTGCTACAGTGTGGTGCAGGGGTCCTGGTGTGGGTCTGCCCGCAGCAGGCCAGGTGTCCTGCTGCGCTTCCTGGCCGTGCAGGGAGCTGGTGGGCGTGCTCACTGTAATACCTGGCCTGCTGCGGGCAGACCTGTCTCTGTGAATGGGGGTTCTGGAGCTCCCTCTTCAAGAGGGGCTCTGCTCTCAACGTGCGGAAAAGAACTGGGTTTCTGCAACCAGAGAGGCTGAGGGGCACACCACGGAACGGGGCACAGATGTGGGTCTTGAGGGGGCCAGCCACACTTCTGGCTCCAGCCCAGGACCCCTGTACCCTCCAGATGGTGGCACCTGTGTGAGTTCCTCTAATGTGCTAGCTCGTGTCTGGACACAGGCAGGGACCAACCTAGAAATCCAAGAGGCCAACCTGCATAGGGATGCCCTAAGAAACCCTCCCTTTCTATAATTCCACAGTAACCCCAAATATGCTTTTCACTGGGGGAACTGCTATTTATGACACCATGCCTGGCTCTAAAATTCAGTGGTCAGGGGCCGGGGATTTAGCTCAGCAGTTCGGTGGCTGCCTTGCAAGCGCAAGGACCCGAGTTCAATCCCCAGTACCAAAAAAAAAAAAAAAAAAAAAAAAAAAAAAAAAAAAAAAAAAAAAAAAAAAAAAATCCAGTGGCCAATGTAGCCTGTGTTTTAGATTATTACCATTTAAATAATTTTATAAATGGCTGTGAGATTCTGACTCTGGGGCCTGTCTGTGCTACGTGAGGCAAGTAAGTTTTGTGACAGCCATCTGAAGGCACAGACACGCCCAAGTGTGGGCAGTGACTGTATATACCACTGTGAAATGCTGTCTGTCCTCTTCCTAGGACAAGCAGAGTGGTTTCCAGGTCAGCAGAGGCAGCGATGCAGACAATAAATACACTGATGGGAAGCCTGAGTGACTCCCCCAGAACCAACTTCTAGGATTATAGCTGCCTCTTGCCTCAAGGCCCTGGGGACCTTGGAAGACTACAGCTCACGTCTGCTGGGCTGCTGTGAAGGCCTCCACAACAGGAATGCACTTCCCTTCCAAGGACCAACCAAGGGAAAAGACCAGCTGCTACATCAGTTGGCGGGACACTGCCACAGTGCACTGACACCGGAGGTCATGTAGTTCTGTTCAGGAAAGCCACGTGCTAACAGAAAATAGCTCAAGGCACTAAATTTACTCCCAGGACAAGGCAGAGCGTTTGTGATCTACTGTCAAACAGAAAAGCAAGTTGTGAAATGATTCCTTTTTATAAAAATATACACATTCACAACACACACAGATGTGTAGCTGTGTCACTCAGTTCCTACACAATACTAACAGTTTGTTGAGGTTAGCTGTTAAGAGGCAGTGCAGCGGCATTGGGAGGAAAATCTGGAATATTCAGAACTTTATGGACACCAGAACAGGGAACAGGTTCATGTCAGCAACTGCTTGCAAAAATATACAATGACATCAGGCTAAGGAACTGTGTGTGCTTTACCCGGACACGGGGTGTGTGTGTGTGTGTGTGTGTGTGTGTGTGTGTGACACGGTGTGTGTGTGTGTGTGTGTGTGGCACACGTTTTTCACTAGTGAGAAAAGAGGGTACAGGGATATTCCCTAGTAAGTAGGAATGTAGGTAGGTTAAAATTCCACATTATAGAAATATTTAGGATTATAGGATCGTTTAAAGTTTTGTTTGTATTTTTTTTGGAGACAGTGTCTCATATTGCAGGCTGGTCTCAAATTCACCGTGCAGCCTAGGTATGTGCCACTATGCTCAGCTATACTTTCTTAAGGTAATAAATACGGTTTATTTCAATAATGAAAGAAAGCAAAAAATATTATTAAGGCCAGCATAAGCCAGGAGAGGAGTAGGGACACATGCCAGCTGGGCAGGGGCCTGTCTCCCAGCACGGCACAGGCAGCAGGCTCAGTCTCTCCCCTTGAGCCCCCCCTGCTTACTCCCTCGCCTGCAGGAGAGGACATACTGATGACGAGGCTTTCCTGATACTTCTGCTCTTCCCAGTGTAAATGACTGTACTGCCACGCCTTCTAGATGTATGAGACTACCACGCACCCCGGACTCATATGTAGGTCACAAAATACCTTCAGAAACATGGCTCGCTCTTCAGGTGTGAAGTCTGAGGCCAGAATATCCCAGAGCCAGATGATGACTCTGTGACTCCCATGAAAGCCACCGTAGTATATCGTGTGCTTCCTGAAACCAACCCAGATAAGGGCTTAGCAGCATACTGACGGGCACCTGTGAACACAGGCTTGGACAAGAAGCACAGGCAACTGGGACAGCCCTGGATAACACTACCAACTTCTCTCAATGCCACAAGTTCATGCCTAAATGACCTCATCTTCCTGGAAGCTAAATGGACAGAGTTTGAAAGCTAGCCCTGCTGTTCCCAAGCAGATGCCAATCTGAAACACCATGACACCATTTGCTGGAGCTTTAGTGAGGCCTTGGGCCTCAAAGCCGGCTTCCACTCGTCAGTTGCCAGGCAGACAAGGGGTGAGTTTTCACCCCACAGTACCTCAGCCAGATCACAGAGGAGGAGGAGATTTGGAGAGGGGCTCTTGTAATAACCCTGCAAAAGGAACCCAGCAAAGGAGCAGCTCACTTTCTAGGAGGCTAAGAACTTCACCCTTCCCTCCTCACTGCCCCTTACTTTAAATCGTCCAGATCAATCTCAGCATTGTCACCAGAGATGAGACGCTGCAGCTCAGGTGTTGAGAACATTCGGATCCATTCGGGTTTGATGATGGAACGGAATCCGCTAATGAGGGCAGCTGTCTGATTTTTTATTTGCGTGTGCATTCGAAAATGCGCCATCAGATGAATGTAGCTAATTCTGTTAACGAGGGAGAGAAAATAATGGAAATTAAGAGGATGAGCCAGGCTGTTACCAATGGGTTGAAAGATGAGTGTAGTCATCTCTGAACCATTTTACAAAACACACACAGTACCGGAGCATGTCACCAGAACAGTGGCACCGATGGCCATGATGACAGAGCTCTCGTCACTGCTTGCCACTAGGAAGGACTCAGGTATTCAAGGGCATCGTCCTGTTCACTTGGCCTCTAACCCCTACATGTTCTACCTGAGAATAATCCCCCGTTATGTTGGAAAGAGAGTCATTCTCAGAGGTAGAAAGAGGGGTCCCTCTTAGTGCAAGAGGTGTTTCCAAACTTCTTTTTAATCTCATAGTTCTGGACACACCCGAATATGACATCACTTAGTTCGCCAGTAAGCTTTCAAGTAGAGGAAAACTGTTTCATATTGAAACTTCAGTTTGAACCTTGTGAAAGCAGGCTAAAGCTCTAAAGCAATCGAGGCAGACCTGCAGGATGCTTTCCACAAGTGCAGCTGGCTTATGTCCAGGGTCCATGGAGGAAGTCAGAGGAACCAACCCTGCTTCCTCGCAGAGGGGGGCTCTGGGTCTGCCTGTATGAACACAATGACCTCGTCTACAACCGTAAGACAAGATGCAATGCACTCTAACAAGCTTGCTACAGTGCTGATTGCTCAGGGATTAGAGAACTTGAGTTTGCCCAAGTATAACTCATAAATTCCAAATAAGTATACTCCAAGTGGAATTTCCCCCCATAATGCTCAGGTCTAACTTAACTTGGAAATATTCCTTTTGTTTTTTGTTTGTTTGGTACTGGGAATCAAACTCAGGACCCTGAGCTTCAGAGGCAGATGTGGCACCACTGAGCTGAATCCCCGGCTCTGAAAATATTCCAGCAGCAATTCTTACCTTCAAACATTTAAATATGAATTTTCTTTCTTTCTTTCTTTTTTTCTTTTTGGTACCGGGGATTGAACTCGGGTCGTCGTGCTTGCAAGGCAGGCGGTGGAACCACTGAGCTAAATCCCCGGCCCTAAATATGAGTTTTTCTATTATTGCCGGTCCTCTTTGCAGCAGGTTGGTGCACTGCTTCATTTTACCAAGAGACAGCCGGAGGGAGAACGGGAAGTGTCACCACCCCAGTGTGAGACCCTGTATCACCCGAGGAGGAGGAGCAGGCGCTGCCAAGCCTCTTCAGTCTGTGGTACAGACGGCCCTCGCCCTTACCCTGAGGCTCTACGCCGACGACACAGGAGTTGGTGAAATGAGTTTTCAGGTCTGGTTTCAAGGCAGGATAGGGATCGCAATCCAACACAGCATCAACCCAGCTCCTCCAGCTGTTACACACCTTGCAGGCATACAGTTCTTACTATAACCCCTGTGCTGTAGCTCTAGGCAAAGATGGCTTCCTTAGGGGTGGCAGGATGTATGGGGCCTGTCACATATCTGATGGTGTGACCATGGCTCTCTTTTATAAGTCCTTCTTTTCAGCCAGACATCCTGGATGCTGTTTTATAGCTTCTCTTGTACACAGACCCATGAAGGAATGACTATGGGTCGCAGGTGGGCAGGGCCCGCATTACCCCACTCTCTCCATGCCCAAGTTTGGGTCCTCTCCACTCCCCCAGCAGCACCTTTAACCTGCACTCTTTATTCTACATTTCAAACTAATGCCCTGTGGCCAAGGGGCAAAGCTGGGGGATTTCAATCACGATGGGAACAGTCTGTTCTTCTGACTGTTCTGACAGTAGAAATAGAAAACTCCAAAGCACGCAGTGACCGAACCACCCTATCCGAGAGGAACAGGATGTCCCACTGGACAGTAACATGCATCTGATCCAGATGACTTGCCAGGTGAGTACTCACCCATCACTGAAGAGACGGATGCTCAGAACACTGACAGGGGGGCCAAGCTCTACTCCTCATGCCAGGTTCTACTGTTTTAATCAGGCAAGGGCAGGGCTGGCTGGAGACAGAGTACTGAGGGCCTTTGCTTCTTCGGACCAAAAGGGTTGACATTTATGACAGATTCCAAAAGCACGTTATCAGTGACAATAGCTGCCAGGTTTCAGCGTCTCCTCTGATTTCCCATGTCTAAGTCTGTCTGCTGGACTGAATTCATCACTGAGTCTCTTGAGAACAGTGTTTTCTACAACTGCCACATGCCATCATTTTTCAAGTGAGCTGCTGCTCTAAGGTGTCTCTGCCTCGGTGCCCTCCGGGTTCAGGACAGAGCCTGATCAGCTCAGAAGCCATCTGTCTGCATACAGAGCCATCATTTGCTTCCTAAGAGTACTGCGGCCTATGTGCCTCTGACCTTACAAGTGCTACTGCAAAAAAATAAATCATCAATTCTTATTTTGCAAATCGAATTTAATACAATTCTGGCCTATGAACTGTAACCAGTAAATTCCATTATGATATTTATGGCCTCTTTCTACTTCAATCTATCTTAATAAATTCTCAATGTAAGCCTGGAGAGCCAGAATGAAGTCTTTTCAAGTGGTGACCTTAAAAATCTAATTGCTGTACTCACTTATTTTCATTTGTAACAGGAATGGTCTTCCCTCCAGGAATCAGTTCATGGCAAACAAGCTGGGGGAGAAGATGGGAGTAATTACAGCGAGAATTCTAATGGGGAAACAAAGCTTCCTGAAGGACATGGCCTGATGCAAACATCCACAATAATGATGGAGTTAAGATGGCACATTTTTGGGAATGGTCATGTAGCATAAAACCTCAGGGTTAAAACCATTAGTAAGCAGATCCTGTGTGATCAATATGAAAGATTTCTTCTCATGTGATCCTTGTTCAAACATTTACACCAAGGGTCCAGAATGTCACAGAAAGAATTGTGTTGGCATTTAGGACAACAGCTGGAGGCGGAATAAATGTTGGTACATCCATACATGAGAATACTGTGCAGCTAGTAAAAGACATGAAGGTGCACCCTAGTGAACAGGTGAAAAAAAGAAACTATATAACAGCATGCATGGCCTGGCATCATTTCTGCAAAACAAACAAAATACATCCATGCTCCTGGGAAAGAGCCTGAAGGACAGACACAACAGACTACAGGGGCCCCCTCTGGGCACTGACATTATGGGTTTTTTCATTTTCATCTTTATGTTCATATTATAGTTGAACTGTTCTGTCAGATATTATATCCATCTGGTGTTTCCTACAGATGTTTCCAGAGAACACCCAGAACTCTGCGACTGGAGATATAGCATTCTTTTTTTCTTTGAAAGTCTGTGGTCAGGGGAAGCTTGAAGCTACCACACCTGCACTATGATTCCTCTCACAGGCTTCTCAGGGTCCTCAAGTGCTCAGAGATGAGTGACTTTCAGGAGGACGGCACACAGGATTCCCACCGGTGCTGGCAGACACTGGTCTGTCTCATCAGAGACCCACACCTGGCCTCTGTCTGGGGCATTCGTTATGGGTGGGCCATCCCTACTCCATCATGATCCTCTATTTGTAACGCCTAATTTTCACCATGGAAATGAAAACACTGTCATAAACTGGGGATTGGCTTCCATCAGAAGATCCAGAGTCCCTCAGGCTGAGGATTTAGCTCAGTGGTTCTGCCGCCTGCCTTGCAAGCAAGAGGACCCGAGTTCAAGCCCTGGTACCAAAAAAAAAAAAAAAAAAAAAAACC